CTTCCTTCCTTCCTTCCTTCCTTGAAACTTTTTGTGGCAAGGCTGGCCACCTTTTCTATGGGACACCCTGAGCCATTTGCTGTGCTCCTCAAGACAAAAGCTGGCTCCAGGGAAAAGCAGAGGGGACTTCAGGGCCACTCACATTTGGAAATACTTTTGGTCACTGGTTTGTCTATTATCACTGTAAAGCAAAGGTAAAGGGTGCCCTGCCAGCCCCTTCCACTGCAGACAGAAATTGAAGGGACTTTGCAGGTGTGCTGGGGAGAGGAAATCTCCCCTAGGATGGGAGAAAAGATAATTGATTAGGGCAGAGTTTAGGAAATAATGGGGATGCAAAAGCTTAATCTTCCTTCCAGAATGATTCTCTCAAATCAACTAACCTCCATTGTGAGTGTCAATTAATGGAAATTAAAATACTAAAAGGGGAATCGTAATAATTATTGCCAAGTGAATATAGTGGGGATGTAGGACAGTGAGGTTTTGCCTTTATCTTTTCTACATCACAGGGAGGATGTGGAAAAGCCCCTCAAGGATGAGTATGGGATAATGCATCTCTCAAAGCTGCACCATTCAAATTCCCTGTCCAGGAGCATCTGCAGGACACAGGAACTTCCACTGCTGCAGAGGGTGTGAACTCTGAACTTGTGTAATTGGGGCTGTTCTCATTACGCAGATTAATGCTTGAAGCCACAAGTTAATTGGGACAAATTACAACTACAAAGTTGCTCTGCTCTTGTCTGATAAACTCTCCTAGGATCTGGCAGGTCTGAGGCAGTCCTTAGGTATAACTCTTTTACAATGTCCACTTTTTTACAATGATACAAACCAGGGCTACTGCCTTCAGTAGGTGAATTAGGCCAGCAGGAGATGAGGAGCAGGGCTGCTGTTTCCTCTCATGGTTCATTTTTTGTGCTCTGATTTTTAAAAATGGAGCAAGAGATGGGACACAGGCACATTTGGACTGCTCCTATTTTTCTTCTTGATTTTGTGTAAATTGAAGTCCATGGTATTGAGCTTATTTTATGGGACATGGGCAGAAAAGCAGCCCCCACACTTCCAGTGTGTTCTGCAAACCCAGGCTTTGGGGGTGCACAGGGTGTTTGGGGAGCCCCCCTATTTAGTGACAATGGTGTATTCAGGCTTGGGGGTTGGTTTTAAATCCAGGTTATAGGAATTTCTGCCGTGCTGGCATGTCACTTTGAACTCAATAAATGACTTAGCCTTTCACCAGCTCTTTGGTTAGTGTTGAGCCCCTCTGAGACTTCAGATCTAATACAGGCACTTTGTACCTGATCACATTAATGAAAACCAGATGTGAAATTACCCTTCAGCGGCACTTCAGTCCTTTCTTTTTTTTTTTTTTTTCTATCACCACTGCAATGGGGGAGGCAAAATTCAGAGGCACTGGAGTGGGTACCCTGTTTTCAGCCAGGAGGATTCAATCTCTCCCAAGACTTTTATTTCTCTACCATATGCAGAATCCACGAGGATCTGGCAATACCTAATCCAGTTATTCTTTTCTGTCCCCCAGGGAAGGTTGTGGAGCCCAGGAGAAGGTACCTGGTAACTCCCAGGGATGTTTCTCCTCTCCATTTTACAGGTCTGGCCTGGACACAGTGTGCTCACTTCTCCAACCCCCCCATCTCCACCAGCAGCAAAGCACGCATTGTTGAAAGATGAATGACTTCACTTTTCCAGTTCCAGCATATGTTTGCATGTCTGAGAGCAAGAAACATGTGAATCTCACACAAACTGTTGGAATTCCAGCTCTGGGGACTGACAAGTAAATATGAAGTCACACAGCATTTCATAGAAAACCCACAAATCTTATGTTTGCTGGGCTAAAGTTGATCCTTTGAGGCACCAGCCAAGAAAAACCTCTCATATTATTTACACCAAGATTCTTCCAAATTCTGAAACTGCAGCTTGATTGAGGAATTCATGCCTTGTAAACTACAAGTTTCCCAAAAAACAGCCAGAGGCACATAATCTTTTGCTAAGCTATCCATAAGGAGCTCTGCTAGCTTAGGTGGTGAATCAAGTGTGGGATAACAGATTACACTGAATAAAAATCAAAAACCACAATGACAAAATAATGTTATAATATTAAAATAAATCAAATCATACACTGCCATTATTCTGATACAGAATTTTTGCACAGCAAATTTGATACATGTACAAGAAGTCAGGCAGCCTATTAAAATAAACTTCAGGGTTCCTTTTTTCTTTAATATAAACTACATCTTAATACATAGTTTGAGATGATCAGGTAGTTTTACACCAATTCAAGTAACAACAGCTTCTCATCTTAGAACACTAAAATAAGTAAATCTTTTAATGCTCTGAATACTGAAATGTTTTGTTTCCACGTGCCACTTTTTAAAAGTGTAAAAACTACATCTACTATTTAAACCTTTACCCTAGAGGTGCGCCTAACTTACAAATAAAATTATATTAATAAAGATATGAAATGCAATGTAAATACAGTTCTTTTGGCAATTGTCATATGCTTCACACTCTGCTGTTGTCCAACTCTCAGTTCACTTCGGGTCTTCCAAAGTGTAAAGATGTGGCCAAATTTCTCCAAAACTGGCAATAAACTTGGATTTTTTCATTCTGGGGTTAAACTAGAACCATGATTCAGGAATGGTCAAGCCCCTGCCCTCAGAAAGAGCTTTGCTCTAGTAGATGTTGTTTGGGTACCCCAAAATGAAATCATCCTCCACTGCAAGTCCCTCCTGAAAACCTTGGCCACAGCAGCAGTGTCTCATCTCCAGCTGATGTTGGTGAGGCAGGGAAGGGGTGCAGGGTTTCCCCTGGCAAATACCCCTTTTTTTGGTTGCGACAACGAGAGAACAAAAATACTGAGCGGCTCTTTGGAGTGCAGAACAGTTCCTGCTAAAAGAAGACATCTTCTTTCCTGAAGTCTGGCAGACACCTGAACCTGCTGGGAGCAGTCCTGAGGCAGGCCAGGCCGGGCAGGCAGGGGCACGTGTGGTGCATCCTCCGCCCCGAGAAGGGCACCTGGGGACAGAGCAAGCACATCAGCTGGTTGGGGAGGTTATTTTATCCTTTTCACAAACAGGATGGGACTGCTGGGGTACATTCCTTGAGCTTTATCTGCAGCATCAGCCTCATGACGTGGGTGAGACAATAGGAAGTTGGCAATAATACAGCCAGCAGCAGCCAAAGATTTCTTTGTTACAGAACAGCTTAAAAACTTTTTAGCTAATAACAAATTTACTATTTCCCACAATCAGTGACAGGGAGAGCCACGGCAATGGTGGCCGGGGGGATGAAATGGGAGGAATATTGGGGAAATGCTGCCCAGTTCCCTCCATTCAGATCCAGAGTTCCCCACGAGCTGCAGCACAGAGCAGATGGCAAAGGCAGCCCCAGTGTACACCCAGCCCAGCCACAGTTAAGAGCAGGATGTTAGCAGTCATGTTGCTGTGTAAATCTACATCTGTGACACATGTTCTCCATTTACTGCCGTTTCATAAAGGAGTTTGTTGTGAAACTACACTGGCCTTTAACATCACGTTTTGTGGTGCCACTGTGCAGGGTTTTCTGCGTGTCCCAAACCCTGCCTTGTCACATGGCACAGAGCAGGAACCTTGGGATCCCGTGGAAATCAGGCTGGAAGGGACCTCTGGAGTCACCTTGCCTGACCTCCATGTGAGCAGGATCCTTTTCACCACAGGGCAGAGGTTTCTCATTTCATCCCAGCCTCCTCCAGCCACATTGTGCTGCAGGGAGCACATATGGAGTAGATTAGACAAATTTAATTGTGCCATGACATGCACACGCACTGACAATCTTCAACAACTTGGTCACAAGCTCTGTCTCTTGCCGGAGCCAAAAGGGACAGCCCAGTGGGAAGTGTCTGGGAGCTGTGGTGCTGCCAGCTGGCAGCACACACTGAGCATTCCCTGGATGCAGCAAAGGAGGCACAGAGGTGCAAAGCCTCTGCTACCAGCCAGGCAGGCAGCCCTAATTCCCTCACTTCCAGATGTCTCTGTGGTTGAAGGCTAAAATTTTAATATTCCAAGATTTTCTTGTGTCAGTGCACAAACTTTGTCTTAAAGAGAGGCCCACACAGTCCTCCCTGCATGGTGGCAAGCACCAGCCTGACTCCAGTGACACCCTGATGGGGCAGGAGGTGGGCAGGGGGCTCACATCCCCTGAAATACCTTGGGCCAGCACCATCTGAAGAGCAGCCCCAACAAGGGATGCTGTGGGTTTCCATGTGCCACCCACCACAGCCCCTCTGCTCCAGTGTGAGCAGAGGCAACTGTTGCAGACATCTTTTCATTAAAAATCCTTCCTTAGGATTTTTTCCTTCTGAGAAGCTGAGAGGCCTCAGAAACAAAATGTAAACTATGGTAATCTGCTGCTGTGGAATGCAACAGGTGGGTCTGTGATTGGTGTCATGTGGATGTTTGGAATTAATGGCCAATCATGGCACAGCTGGCTCTCTCTCTCTCTGAGCCACAGACCTCTGTTGATTCATTATTTTCTACTTTTAGCCCAGCCTTCTGATGAGAACTTCTTTCTTCTATTCTTTTAGTATAGTTTTAATGTAATATATATCATAAAATAATAAATCAAGCCTTCTGTAACATGGAGTCAGATCCTCATCTCTTCCCTCATCCTAAGACCCCTGTGACCACTGTCACAGGCAACAACCTCCCACCCCTGCTGGGGATCCCCATGGGAGTCACCCCTGTGGGTGCCCACACCCAGCACTGCACCAAACCCCAAACCTGAGCTCTCAGCCTCCTGACAGCTCAGTGATTTATTCTGACCATTCCACTTGCTGCAAGGAAATGTTCCTTTCATTCCCCATGCTGCCCAACCTCACCTGCCTGCAAACCCTGCCTGGCCCTGCCTCACACCTGGCCTAGAAATTCCAGCTGGGACTGCTAATGGCATCGGTCCATCACCATCTAGGTGCTGAGAAGCAAACCAGAAGGTGGAACCCCAGCTGCCAGCCATCTCCTCCAGTTATCTCCTGGCTCCTCTGGATGTCCCCAAGGTGCCATGGCCATGGTGGTGCCTGATTTTGACCTATCCTGCAGTAAATGAAAAATTTTGGTGATCAGGGCACCCAGCTGCTCCCTACACAAGTATTTACCAGACAGGAACCACTGAGCAAACCCTCCATCCTTAAAATAAACTCATTTCACATTCTCCAGCAAATCAATTTGGTTTATGTTTCTCAGGAAGATCAGTGGAGAAATTAAAATTAACCTCATAAAGCTTATAAACATCAATGACTTAGTGTCTGGGGTGGACAGGCATCTACTCTGATTGTAATTATGCAGGCAGTCAGCTTGAAATATATCAGACAGTTTAAATTATTGCCCAATAACAATAAGCTCATAAAACCCTCCAGAAGTCAATTTCTCTTATTCCTGGTAATGGAAAGAGCCCTTACAAGAAGGACCTGCAACATTACATAGTAAAAATGACCATTTGGTCCCCAATATCACAGCAGAAGTTTTAAAAATTTAACTGCAATAAAATAGAGCCTTAACTTCCTAAAACTGAGAAAATAAACTGAGAAGCCAGGCCTTGGATGAAAGTGAGAGAGGCAGCTAACTAGCTGCACATTTATGATCTGAATTTATTGCCTCATATCTTCCACTTGTGATGACTATTGGCCTGTGCTCTTCCCTGAGGATGACGCTGAAGACCATCAGCTTCTCAAATTCCCTGGTAACATCTCACTCAGTCTTTTGTGTTTTAAATAAGCAGCTCTTTTCATACTGCATAAGAAATACATAATTACATAGCCTTAAATAAATGCACTTGTTAAAATCATTGTATTAATAATACAGTGTGTGTGTGTGTATGTGTATATACATAGATATTTAAAATTAATAGGTAGAACAGAAACAAAGAGAGCCTGTGGAGACTTTTCTCAAGTCCAAATGTGTGTCAACACTTTCTCAATGCTGTCCCAACACCAACTGGTGACAGTTTTATGCTTGTCACAGGATCTTGTCCACTGCCACTGGGGTTGGTGGCACTTTCTGTGCTCCTGCTCACACCAGGAGGGATTGGCGGGGCTGGGCTTGGGAGCTGCCACAGCTGTTTTGGATCAGGCAACAAAACAAAGCAGCAACAACAAACTAATAAGAAAACAATCTGGGAAGCATGTAGTGCTTTCATCCTCTGATTCCCTTCAGCATAATTCTGACACTAATGCACTTCCTTACGTAGGTGCCTTCATCTCTGCTCCCGTACAGATATAATGGCCGGATATTGTACGGAATGGGAAGCTTCCCTGCCTTTCCACCACGTCTAGGCTTTGTGCCATGTGCTGTAGAGCTCAGGACACCCCTCCAGCCCCCAGTGAGGTACTCACTCTGTGGCTCAGGGGGTGGCAGTCGTCTCCCAGGTTGCCCATGGGGGTGCACATCCTGAGGCTGCGGATCCAGAGGCTGACGGCGCAGCACATCCCGGCCCCGCACTGCTGGTCTCGGTCGCAGGCCTGCATGCAACACAGCATCAAGCAAATTACATGAATAATAAATGCAGTCCAGAAATAGGATGGATCAGGTGCTCAGGAGCTGCCTCTGGCACCCCTAAGTTATCATGGCTCATTAAGGCTGGATAATAAGATTTAAAGGCTGGTTTGCAATACTCGTGTCTCCCATGGATTGGAACGTGCAGGCTCCTGGCACTTTTTGGAGTTGGGACCGGGTTGTTTAAAGCCAGGACCACACACAGAGCTGCTCTGGGCCAAACCCAGGTCTGTCAGGGATTTACAGTCCAAACTTCTGAGCACTGATGGCATGTGCCACTCGCTTTCCCAGCTCCCACACCAGAGCCTGAGTGAGCTCAGGCAGGAGCAAGGACCAACCACACTAAACTTGTCACCAAAAGAGTCACCAAACCACTCTTATGGAGAAGCTGAGATAGGAAATCATCCATTTATTTAATGACTTTTAGGTAACTATTCCTTCTAACTTCACAGGATAATACCATGGTTGTGAATGCCCTTGCAACACTGCATGAGAGTTTTGTTAGGGAAGTCCAAGTGGAAGTAGCTAAAACAAAAGTTTAAATGTGGATTCTGTGGTTGTTATCTAGAATTACACAGAGCTAAAAGAGGTCTTAAGAAAAGCTTTCCATAAGTGTCCACATCCAAAAAAAATGCTGCTGTGGTAACATTCCCCTTCACGGGAGGCAAAAACATATTTTAGCCACTTACCCAATACAGCTTAGATAAGCAGAAACCAAAAATGCAAACTAGTGGGTATGTCTTAAAACCCACAAACCATGAAGAGCAATTGACACATTAGGGTTTGAAAACAAGCTACTGTACATCTTTCAGTTACTTTTTAATCAAAAGCTTATATAGATTTAATCCAAAAACCAGTCTCCTTTCTCCAGTGAGAATTGCCATCAGTTAAAGGTTCTGCTTACATCCTGAATGTAAGCTTGATTACCTCACTGCTCTGGGTGTCTGGCAGCAGCAGTGAGAGATGGAAGGCCCTGGTCAGCACTACGTAAATGGGAAACTCATAAAAACATACGTAAATGTTGATAACAGCTCTGGGGAAGGCACATTCCCAGAGTAAACATGCTCTTGAGGGGAAAACTCACTGATCTTACCTTGGGGTTTACATGATAAATGGCTTTCGACTGTACTCATTGGGTAAATATTGCACTGACCAGCAAGAGCCAGATCAAAATACAAGTTTAAAGCTCAGTCAGAAGTTTGGGAAGAAGCTGTTGCATTAGGATCATTATTAAATAGTGTGTGTGACCCAAACAGATCCTAAACACAGAGCTCTGTGCCTCAGGTAAGCCCAAACACAGAACATTTGCTGTTATATGGTCATAAAACTACCACTCTAGTGTGGCAGGTAGATTATACTCACTTTCTGACCCCTCTCTTAAAAAAAAAATAATAATTTGAGAAGTACTCTAATGATATTATTTTGCCATAGTCACAAATAAAAATGCAGGTCCAGTGATTTTGGCTGCCACCAGCACACCATGTCCACTGCTCAGCTGGAGTCACAAGCTCTGCTATTACTTTGTTATTTCTCACTTGCCAGTCCCTGACTCCTTTTTTTTCTTATTTATATATCTCAAAGTCCATTCATCTCTGTGGGACTGGTCTTGGGGTGAAATAACACTCAGCTGAAAAACCCCCTGGGTGTGTTCTACCGAACAAGTCTTGAATGTCCAGGCTGAACAATTTCTTTCCTGACCTCACACACACATATTTACATCTGGCAGAACTTTTAAGGCTCCCTTTCCAAAAATGTATGACAAGTTTTGAAAATATTCGACCCAAGTGTTCCTGCCCACATCTTATCTGCAATGTGTAATTCCTGCTGCTCCTCCTAAACTTCCCCAAACACCACATGAGCACCTTATTTAAAGGTTTTCCAGAAAATCAGCCCAAGAACATGTCCCAGGTGAAATGCCAGCTGCAAAGGCAACAGGTTTCAGCAAAAGAACCACCACTGAATTAAGAAAAGCTTGAAAAAATCTTTAAATTGGAAAGGAAAAACACCTTTCAGGCTCAGGGGTTGGGGAACACCCACGTCAGCTCTCATCTGAGATTTGCCTGTTCATCAAAAGCCAAAAATGCTTCAAAGTGGTTAAAGCAGAAATGCTCTGCAATAGTTAATAAAGTAACATTTTCTAGTTCTAATCTATTTTTACTTGTTGAATCTGCCTTGTCCTTGATCCATTATTCAGTGCCTCACAATTACTTTATTTAATGGGTCAATTATGCTTTAAAGGTGTAGCCGCAACTCTAATAACAGATAAACTGCTCTTCTGTTGCTGGCAATGTTTCTACTTAAAAGAAACTTGAAATCCTCAATTATTAAAAAATTCCTTCACATTCTCGGCTCTAAAATAAAAATAATCAGTCCTTGGAACTGATCTGACTTCCAGAGAAATGCCCACGAGCTGTTTCATGGACTTCAGGGGTCCGGACAGGGAGGCTGGAGAGCCACAGAGAAATCCACTTCTGTGAGTGCAACTTCTGATGGTTACAAAAGACATGTGAGCTCTCAAAGGAATGCAAATGCTGAGTTATTAATCCAAAGCAAACACTTAAAAATTATTTAACTAAAAAGTGATGCAACGCTTTGAGTTAAATAACGTCTTTAGGAAAAAAAGTATTTTCACAGCCAGAGTAAATCTTGAGCCTAAAAACAACAACAACAGAGACTTGTTTGCAAGGGGTGGCTATTGTGGGGGAAAAGCTACAGTCATAGGCAAAGAAAAAAAAGAAGGAAAACAGAGTTTTCTGAGGATTGTAATCCTGCCGTGTACACAGAGGGGCTGGAGGAACTTGGGGTGCACAGTGGGCAGTGCAATGTCCTGAGCCAGAGCCTCTCAGAGCAGGTTTGGGAACAGCTGGGGCTGCATGCAGGGAGATGGGAGACAGCTCCAGCCCTGGAAAAGCAACAGGAATCTCTGCATGCTCCCGGACCTGGAGACAGCCCCCCAAAGACATCCTTCACCCCAAAGGAACAGACCCCACGTTGTGGCATCCCCTTACCTCAGAGAGCCACGAGTCCTGGCATTGCCCACCACAGAGACTGACACATCCTGGCATCACTCACCTCAGAGAGACCCCCAGGCTCTGATACCACTGAATCCAGACCATCCCTAGAGATGCCACGGCCGGTACCACTTATCCCAGACGGACCCCAAGCCCTGCCACCTCTCATCACCTGGCACTGCTCTCCCTCCCACGCCCTCGTTATCACTTATCCCAGCTCTGGCCATCCGTCACCTCACTCGGCACCGCTCCGTCCTGGCATGGCTGAGTGCGGACAGACCGCGAGCCTCGGCAGTGCAGAGAGCAGAGATGCCCAGGGAGCAGCCCCGGGCGACAGAGCGCTCCCCTCTGCCCGGGCATCCCGCACGGCATCCCGCTCCCCAATGCCCGGGCATCCTGTACAGCCGAGCGCTCCCTTCTCCGGGCATCCCGCTCCCCTCTCTCCGGGCATCCCGCATGGCAGAGCGCTCCCCTTTGCCCGGGCATCCCGCACGGTATCCCGCTCCTCTCTCCGAGCATCCCGCTCTCCTCTCCCGGGCATCCTGTACAGCCGAGCGCTCCCTTCTCCGGGTATCCCTCACGGCAGAGCGCTCCCCTCTCCCCGGGCACCCCTTATCCCGGGCG